TAGTATAACCGTTTACAAATATTCCTTTTAACAGGAAGAAGCCGGTAAAAGGATTTATTTATAAACGGTTATAACAACCTTATTGGTGTAATATATACAAAAAATACGTTGGGGGACCTAATATGGACTAAGGGAAACGTTATTACCCTCCTAAGTCATTATTCCATGAAACTATAAACCTCTATAATAAATTTTTACTTTTTAAATAAGAAACTTATAGGTCTTGGTGTTGGTAGTTTGGATGTTTTTAACCTCGGTCTTCTTTATAAATGGAAGTGACGGTTTCTTAATGACAATGGAGCTCTTCGGTTTAAAATTATCAAATTTTGTCATGGGGAAGATGGTGGTTTTTCGGACGATTCGAGAATAGGAATTGGAGGGGGTGTTTGACAAAAGATTGTAGGATCCATTAATCACCTCCATGAGAATGGTTGTATCCCTTCTAATTACATGTATAAAGTGGTGGGGGATGAGACTCAAACGAGGTTCCAGAAGGATGTTTGGTGCTTGGATATTCCTCTTAAGGAGCGGTTCGAGAGGCTCTTTGCTTTGGCCTTTAATCAAGATGCTCGAGTAGCACCAAACATCCTTCTAGAACCTCGTTTGAGATTCATCCCCCACCACTTTATATATGTAATTAGAAGGAATACAACCATTCTCATGGAGGTGATTAATGGATCTTACAATCTTTTGCCAAACACCCCCTCCAATTCCTATTCTCGAATCGTCCGAAAAACCACCACCTTCCCCATGACAAAATTTGACAATTTTAACCCGAAGAGCTCCATTGTCATTAAGAAACTGCCACTTCCGTTTATAAAGAAGGCCGAGGTTAAAAACATCCAAACTACCAACCCCAAGACCTATAAGTTTCTTATTCGAAAAGTAAAAATTTATTATAGGGGTTTATAGTTTGATGGGATAATGACTTAGGAAGGTAATAACGTTTCCCGTTTGTCCATATTAGGTTGCCAATGTATTTTTTGTGTATATTACACCATTAAGGTTGTTATAAATATTTATAAATAATCCTTTTACCGACTTCTTCCTGTTAAAAGGACCATTTGTAAACGGTTATAATAACCTTAATGGTGTAATACACACAAAAAATACGTTAGAGATCTAAAATGAAAAAACAGGACACATTCTTACCCTCCTAAATCATTATCCCATGGAATTGATAGGAAAATGTTCAAGCTAAAAAGTATTAACTTAAAGGTACTAAAACAAAATCATGTTTTTTATAATCAATATGTAAATCGTATGTTACCTATGAAAACAAACATTTCGTTTAAATTCTATTGATTGAGCATGTGTGGCTAACCGACATGTCAATGTGAGAATCTAAGTTGAAAGTGACGTGACACTCACAACAATTAATTTTATCGACGAAGCATTTGTGGTTTCCAGACACATCAATGTGAGAGTAATTTGAACCGTATATCACGTTGATTTTGCATGATTGTTTCATCATCTATTCTACTATACATGACATACCTAGAATTGAGATGAACATAATCTATATTTTTTTTATCGTTTAGATTAATAGTGACATTTACTATTAAACAAACAATAGTCATAAAACCATCACTTTTGCATGATTAGTGTGTACCATATTGTAGACACAAAAACAGATTAATCATTTATCATTATTTTATTTATATTTAGTTACATTTTGATTCTTTTTTCATAAAATCGTAACCATAAATACTCATGCATAACATACTCAACCAATGCCACATATTATTATAGTAATACTGCTATTTTACGAACACCTTGACCTTTTTTCTTTCATGTGACAAATTCAATATAAGAATTACTCCCTTAAAATTTAACTTAGTCACCTTATATGTCTTTACAGTTCATTTAATAAATGTCACAAGACAAACGTATCTATCAAAAAAAAAAAAACTATTTTAAATGACGTAATTTGGTTATCGTTTTCGACCGTAGTAATACTTGTCATGTAAAACGGTTGCTAAGTTGTTGATTCAAATATGTAATGATGCATTTTGAGTAAACTATAACCAAAACCAAATTAGTTTATGATTTTTAGCGCCGGAAAATATGAAAATTGTCATCAACGTTTTTTCAACACCATCAGCAAAAACCAATTTTGTACTACTCCCCTTAATCTTCATTCTTGTGTAGTGGAGCTTTCCTTGAAAATCTATTCCCCGGTCTCCTCACAAGCATTGCTCAACGGACATTCATATATGTCGAATATTCACCCCCCCCCCCCCCCCCCCCCCCCCCCCCCCCCCCAAATGAAGACGTCTATTTTTCTAGGAACCAAATTAGTCCAAATAGTAGGCAAGTTTTTGCATTCCAATAACTGATTGTTGCTTTCCTTCCTTTGGGAAGAGACGTTGAACTCTCTCCCTCATTGAGACTCCAATACCAATTTCTTAGGTATGAGCGAGTTATACACTTTTCAATGTTTTCATTTAGAAGAAATCGCTTAAATCGATGTGAAGTTGCTTCAGTTCGATATTGACATTGGTAATTCTTCCCCACAATGTCCTATTACATAATGATGTCGACAATCCCAACCCCCATAGTCACAGTGAATGAACCTAATGACGTTTTTCCAAATCGTGTTTCTATTATCCCTAAATTACCACCAATATTGTGTATGAATAACAAGGTTGAAAGCTCTTAAGCTTCCAATTTGGAAACCACCAAGTTATTTGGAGTTCATCGTTATGTTCCATGCTTTCTAGGTGATTTTTTGTGAAACATAAAAGTACGCCAAAGGAACCCATTTGGGATACTTTGAAGCTTTGTTATGACTTTTTTAGGTACTTTGTAGATCGAAAAAGGAATATTCCAAGGCTTCCTAGTAAACCTCAAACGCCCTTCAACCGAAAGAGTTCTCGCTTTCCCCATTGAAAGTTTTTTTTGTTGAACTTATCAATAGGAGAACGTAAGCTCAGCTTCGAGACACTTCAACCACCTAGCCATGGAAGCGATTTCGCTTGTAGGAACACCAATGCCCATTAGCTGGCTCTTATGTTGGCTGACCTTGAGATCTAATGCGGAGGAAAGCAAGTGAGTATTCTCATAATGGTCATATGTTCCTGCAATTAGAGAAAGAACTTCATTAAATGTAACCATGATATGCTCATGATCATCTGCTTTAGCATGAATTGCATTAAATGTATCCATGATGCTCATGATTGTCTGGTTTAGTAACAGCAAGGAAAAATCCGATAAGTCATCAAAATGCAAACACCAAACTACTAAATTGATTAGGCACTCTTGAGTTATGTGTTCTTTATTCATTTTTTCCAGGAAAAGGAATAAAAAGAATGGAATCTGGACCGATCCAGTGGGTGCTTGACTACTTGAAAGTGGGTCTCACCCTATGAAACACTCACAAAAGTATCCATTTTGCTGAAATAGACTCTCTTGGAACCCTCCCCTCATATGCTGAAATCACCCTCTCTGATACGATTATTTTTGCTGAAAAAAGTCCAAAAAAATCCTAAAATTTCATTTTTACTTTACATATTATCTACTTTTGTTTAACTTTTTATATATATGATGGACCACTGTTTATTTTTTTTTCTAGATTCCATATGTATGTGATGAATTTAACCCTAAATAGATTGTTAACAAGTTAAAGATTAAACATTTGTAGGCCATTGGCCATATTAAGTAAAAATATTATTTTACTGATATTTGGCGTACGTATTCAAAAGTTTATTTTTTAAAATAATAAAACAAATAAATAACTCGATAGAACATGCTCGCCATTGAAGAATAGATGCAACTGTTCAACCCCACAGCAAAAAAACAAATTCTGAAGGAATTAATGATGATACTGGTTGTCGTTGTCATCAGAATAATGCGAATATTTTATTGTTTTTGCATTAATTAATTACATAAAAAATAATCACAGGCATGTACTATTGAGGTTATTTTTTTACTCATTATTACTACATACCAAATTGAAGGATTAGGGCAGTCATCTTAATTAATTTATCATGCATTGCCGTACGTGTGTATGTGTATATATATATATATATATATTTGGGAGGTTGCAAAAGAGCTCTATCTTGTTTGCTTTCTTCTTCACAATGGATATTCTTCTGGCTTTTGACAGAGAATTATGCTGGTGTCTAACTTTTTTAATTTTTCATTAGTTTCAGCGTTATTGTTGTCTTCCGACTCTGATTATGCTCTTTCTTTATCTGACATGCTTTTGGAGTTCGTTTCATCTGGAAAATACCACTTAAGGTTTTTAAAACATATACATACAACAAAAGATTATATTAAACTGGAAAATACCACTTAGGTTTCAACGCTTTTGCTGCTGATCAGTACCCTAACTACACACCCGGAAAAAATTGCACGTTCATTATTAGAGTTGAACATTAAATTCTAACTGAAGAACAGTCAAATAAAATGGAAAGTACAACCAGAAGTCTACCTCACCGATAAGAGAATATCCAAGGCATATTTCACTTTCAGTTAACGATATGTTCTTTTCTTTAGGCAACGTCTAAGAGGCGTTTGTTTTGCACAATGTTTTTAAAAGGAATAGAATTTATCAAAAGAATTGGAATTTGGAAGAATTAGAATCTGAATCTACGGAAATATAAATGTGTTTGGTTGATATGGAATGAAATGTTTTCTGTTTGGTTTGTTGATTTCCCAAACGAATTGAAAAATAAATTTTGTAATATGATAAAAATACCTTTTTTAGTGATTCTTCGTAACTTAATTATACTTTTTAATAAACATAACCAAGTTTTATATAACTACAACATTTTTTTTATTAAACTCTTCTATAAAATATAAATTAAAAAACTAACATGTATATTTGGTCGAACACAATATCATAAAAACATTTTTTTAAATTGATATAAAACGATTATATATATTAATATAAAGCAACAAATTTCATTCGTTATTTCAACCTAAAAAAAAGGAATAAAAAAAAGTTAACCACACACTATGTAAAATAATGTCTAAATACTTGGTTCATAATCATATCACTCTTCTAACATGAACCTCACAAAACCCTTCCGATCTTCTCCTTCCAAATTCCAAAAACTTAACATGGTTTCTGGACCACGCATTATTTTCCTACTTGCTTTGAACCTATCCAAGGTACTCAATGATTGCATTTTTGAAATTTCAGGAATCACGATTGAAGCTTTTTTTTTTTGTACTTCAGTTTCTCCTAGTATTGCTTGATTCATACTATTAGCTGCTTTTTCAACTTTTTCTCTAAGGACATTAGCTGCAATAGTTATTCCTTTAATAAGGACATCAACTCTTTTTCTCTTCTTTGAGCCTATGTTTGGAGATTCTTCATTTTTTATGGTTTGTTCTTCAAAACCATCTTCTATTTGTTCAGATTGTTCTTCATTATTTGCATCTTCTTCCATTTGGGCAAAATCCTTGGCTTTATTCCCTTGAGCTCTATCCTTTCCAAAAATGATACATAAATCCTCGTAATGACGAAATATCTTATTTCTCCATTTTCCTGCCTCTTTATGAACCTATTTTGTATCATAAAAGGGTAGGACATAAAAATATAATATAAATAATTAATAAGTAACAAAATATATAAAAGTTTTAATATTGTACCTGTATGTAAGAATCCCAAACCGCTGGTTCAGCTGTTACAGAATGAGTGGAGGTATCATAACCAAAACCACTTGTGTTTGTACCATTCACCATATCATAAACGACTTGTCAATCCTTTTTCATGGTTTTGATCCTTGACTCAATGTGGGGTTTACCCAATATGCGAGAACTAGGAATTTTTTCCTTCAATGCGCTTTCTAGATGTTGTAAATATCCAGATTTAAAACCATTATCGGCTTTAAATCCGCCCATGTTGACCATATTTACCAATGCTTCCATGAGCTTCACATCTTCAGTTATTGTCCAGTTGCGATAGTTTCTGGTTTTTTCCATCACACATACTGTTGTAAACATAAAAATTAGATTAACCAATGCGTGCATAAAAAAATACCCAACCATATATATAATAAATATATATGGAAAAAAACAAACTAAACTTCATTATTGAAAATAACAAACATAACACATATTCGTTCATAATAAATGATAAACGTAACAAAATGAGAAAAGATCAATGTGTAGTATTCCAAGAATCAAACATAGTTTGCACTAAGTTGTTTCTAAATGTAGTCCACTCGGTTGATACACCAACAAAAGTGATATTATCATCGTCTCCACCTCCGACATCTCCGGTTCACTCGTCTAGTTCAAAGCGGTTCTCAAATGGATCAATTGTTATTTCCTGCCTTATATAATTATGAAGAAGACAACATGCCATTATGATCTTATTTTTTAAATCAATAGGATAATATTAGTTGTCCCTTAAAATTCCCCATCTTGCCTTCAAAATACCAAAACATCTTTCTATAACATTTCTCGCAGATGAATGTCTCATGTTGAATAATTCTTTAGGTGTAGTTGGTTGGTGTCCAGCACGCCAATCATTCAAATGGTATCTTTGACCCCTATATGGGGCTAAGAAACCTTCACCATTTGTATAACCAACATCTACCAAATAATAACCTATATATGTATTATAGTTAGTATAACTAATAGTTAATAACTAATACATATCTATAATACCAATTATTATACATACCCGGTCTTGGGACCTTCAATCCATGTGGCCTAAGTAGGGCATCTCGAAGTACTCTACCATCCGCAGCCGAGCCTTCCCATCCCGGTAAAACATAGATAAATTGCATATCTTGTGAACACACCCCTAAAATATTTGTGGCAATATAATTTTTTCTTGTCCTGTATTTAGGCTTGTCTTTAAGTGGCACTAAGCACTTTATGTGTGTTCCATCTAAAGCTCCTAGATAGTTCTACACGATATATAAAAAGAAATGGTCATATGTCATATCAAGTAATTTGTGTACTTATTGAAAATTTTATAAATAATGCTTATACCTTGAACCACTTCCATCTTTGATTTGTAGAGTTTTTTGTAACATGTTCGGGTTTCTTAAGCAAATATGAATGCAACCTTATCACCGCATTACAAACTCGTGTAACAATTTTGCTAATTGTTTCACTAGAACGCTAGAAACGACCTATCATGACCCGATTCTTCACATTATGTGCAATGATATGAAGGAATATGGCCACTTGCTCATCAATATCCGTATGTCTAGTTGTTCTTAACCCACTTAATGTGTGAAGCATGTCACACAACTTTGTGAAACATCTTCGGATCATCCTAAGGTGTGATATGCATGTAGTGTCGCTTTTTGTAAGCGTATTTATGCAATATTGCTTGTCGATCCACATTCGACGATATATTTTTTATACGTGGTTTATCCCCCATATATATTTGTAGTAACTTGCACACCGTGATAAAAAACCATGTAATGGTTGTCATAACTTCATTCCAAAATGTAACGACTATTTGGCTTATTTTTTTTTTTCTATGTCTGCTTCTAGTTAGACTAAGTCGTGCCATTTCCTGCTCATCTCCCACAAAAAGAAAATTATTCACTTCAAAATACATAATATCATTACTTTACTTGTCAATTAGTGGTCGCATTTTACAAAACAGATGGTGTTCATTACTACAAGTTGCTGAAACATTAAAAAATAAATGTCAAATATATCCATTTTTCAGCATCCACGCAAATCCAAGTTTAATCTTTTTACACAAAGAAAATCCTATGAAAAGATTATAGTTAATAATTAGGTCATTCATCTTAGAACAAAAATTATTGTAGTAAAAAAGTAAAATATAATTACATAAATAAGCTCATTTTGGTTGAAATTGGATTTGGAGCTTATTCGTGGAACTTCAATAAATTATGGTTTCTTTTACAATGTTTGCAATCATTCATCTTAAAACAAAGGTGGCAGCAAATTCTAAATAAAAGTGTGTATATACCTTTGCATGTTAAAGAAAAACCAAAGGTGAAAGAAAACTGTAAATAAAAGTTTTATTGAAAGAAAACTTCAATAAATTATGGTTTCTTTTACAATGTTTGCAATTTTACGTTTTTGAGTTCAACGATAAAACTAGTTATAAATTTTGTCTAAAAATCCATTTTAACCAATGAAATAACTCCCAACCATTATAAAAACCAAGCTTCTTCTTCACATAAACTTTGTAAAAGCAAAATATAATTGACTTGAAAGCATCAAACGGTAATAGCAACAATAAACAAAATTAAATCAATAAAAAAACATCAAATAACAACAGTAATAAATGTCTTCAAATGTGTTGTTGTCTCATTTTTTCAAAGTAAAAAAGCATAAGTCGTTAAAGGAATGAACACCAAAAGTTAATGCGGACAACTAAAAAAATTACCGCAGAGGCAAAAACACAAACAAATGGTGTGCATATTTATCAAAAGAGTAATTGCACATCCCAGCAATAAATCCAAACCAAAAAATTTACAAGTCGTATATTTGAATAGACAAATTTGACACTTTTTTTTTTTCCAAAGAAACCATAGATGAAGTACAATAGCATAGATATAAGTATATAATGTTAATTTTCTATCAATCAAAGATGAAAGAACAAACGAGAAAGGTATAAATCAACAGTAAGTCACAATTGATTTTAGAAAATTTGAAGGATTCACGAGGCTTACATGTAAATGGAGACGATACAGCAAAGAATATAACACTGATGAACCACAGAAAATACGGGAGCACAGCAGCACTGATTGATAGATGTAATCTCTTGGAAACTGTCGAATGAATAAATATACAATAGATGAGGATGTAATCGTAGAGAAGATATGAAAATCAAAGATATGATTTTTTTTTATTTCACGCATAGATAATAGGATAGTTGTGTAATTTAAAACAAAAGATAAGGAATTGAATTTAGAATCTTCTTGGACGATGGAAGAATTGGAAATCTTCCGAATATGGAATGAAATTGTTATTAAGGAAATGTAATTCCATTTATTTGATCAGCCAAACACGTTTTGCTCTTGATTTTTGATTCCAATTCCTTTTAATTCCTTAGGAATCATGTGAAACAAAAACGCCCTAAGTATTTAATAAATTATTTAACTGTATCGCAAACCTTTTTCTATTATCAAACATGACTTCATGCACCATGTGTTTTAGATGATTTTAGGATTATTTGCGTATTTTAATGTAATTATAATTACTATGGACACATGTTGAGTTGAGTTTGATGGGTTTTGGTATCACTACAAGAAGACCGGGTAACATCGACGATGCCAATCGTCGCTAAAGGTTAGGGATGTCGCCGCTAATACCTTTAGCGGCAACGTGTCGCTGCAAATGCGTCGCCGGTAATGCTTCGTCGCTAATACGTTTCTGGTCATCGCTAAAGGTTAGGGCTGTTGCCGCTAATACCTTTAGCGGCGACGTGTCGCTGCAAATGCGTCGTCGGTAATGCTTCGTCGCTAATACGTTTCTGGTCGCCGCTAAAGGGTGTCTGTAACGACGTAAATTTTAAAACCAATTTTTCATTTTTGTAAACATCAAAAACATCGATTAATATTTCAAATTCAAACGTAAACAATATTGTCACAACCAAATACATCCCAAAGATCATAAATTAGTTTTCTCCCGACAATGTGTACGATCACGCCGGCGCCTTCCCACGGTCCTCGCTAGTACCTGAAACACATAACACAACAACTGTAAGCATAAATGCTTAGTGAGTTCCCCAAAATACAACCTACACACATACGCCTTTCCAGGCCCTGACCTTCCAGTCCCTGTGTCTCAGGGGACTTCCGTCCCGACTAGGTAGACCTTCTGGTCCTACCCACGTAAACCTTACGGTCCACATCACAACGCCTTCCGGCCCATAACATATTCACATTCCGGCCCATAACCTAATGCCTTCCGGCCTATAGCAAGCATATCATACATGGTACATAAAACGAATAAGTTATCGCACATAATACATACATCTCATATCATATCCGACCTTCCGGTCACATAGTTAAACCCTTCCGGGTACAGTATAGTGAGAAAACTCACCTCATGGAAAGTCTAAGATCTCGCGTCCTCGCTATCACTGAATCCAAACGACGACTCTACTTCGCCTAAACATAAAAATATCATTTAATACACAAAGACTTCCACTACTAAAACTTTACCCCTTATCATCATTCCTCAGAGGGTAAAAGACCATTTTACCCTTCCTTGACCTGAAGTCCTCATGTTGACCAAAACCCTAAAAGTCAACCCAGAGAGTACACGGGGCGTACATCGCTAACCCCCCCCCCCCCCGGATCGGGGTCTCCCCACTCTCCATTTCTGGTCTTAATCAGTTAAGCCATTACTACAACTTCTGGATCCGGCTCTTTTAGCGTGTCTAAACCCATAAAGTCGAGGCCTTTAAGCCTTGGCATGGCTGTAAAGGCTCCAACATCACATAATAACATCTTATTCCAACTCAAGGACCTAGATCTCATGCATGGTGCAATACCCACGTCCAAGATGCCATTTTTATGAGTCTACAACTCCAATAGATCAGAAACATGAAGTATCTAAGCTTATGGAGGCCATTTGCACAAAATTTCTCCACCTTTGGGACTTAATCCCTAGAAAATGACATCTTAAGCATATAACATGAACCAAGTGACAAGATCCGAACTTTTTACCTGAAAATGAAGCTTTAACCCTTGCAAAGCTCAGATCTACACTTGAGCACCACTTCTAGCCTCTCCAACAAGCTCTTCTTCTCCTTTGCAACCTTGGAATGGCACCACCAAGCTTAGAATACACACACAATGGCCAAAGAACGAAGGTAAACTCTTTTTAGGGTTTCACTCTGAGGGATGGTGGCTGAGAAGTCCAGCCACACATTCCTTTTATAGCCCTTCCAAGGGAAATTAGGGTTTGGATCTGAATAAGTTACGCCGGGCGTAACCTTGGGTACGCCCCGCGTACCTGAGGGTGAACGCGTCGAAATGAGGTGCGCGAGTACGCGCAGTGTACACCTTGTACGCCCAGCGTACTCGCCTACCATGAAAACCCTAAATTTAACAATTTAATCCAAAACAGAAGAATACCTGGATTTCAGGCTGTTACAATTCTCCCCTACTAGAACCAGACTTCGCCCCCGAAGTCTCATACTGATAACAACTCTTTATACTGATCCCGCATCTCCGACTCGGACTCCCATGTCAGCTCGGACCCCTTCCGATGTTGCCATTGCACTTGTACTAGGGGTACTTCCTTGTTCCTCAAAACCTTAACTTTCCGATCCCTGATCGCTACTGGTCTCTCCACATAGTTCAGGCCTGCATCCACCTGAATATCATCCAATGGCACCACTACCGACTCGTCGGCAATACATTTCCTCAACTGCGAGACATGAAAGGTATCATGGATCTGCCCCAACTCAGCAGGTAGATCCAACCGGTAGGCTACCCGGCCTACCCTAGCAATTACTCTGAAGGGTCCAATATACCGGGGTCCCAACTTGCCCCTCTTCCTGAATCGTATCACTCCTTTCCAAGGAGAGACCTTTAGGAGCACAAGGTCACCAACCTGACACTCGAGCTCGGACCACCGCATGTCCGCATAACTCTTCTGGCGGCTCTGCGCGGTCAACAACCTCTGCCTGACCTGCTGAATCTGGTCAGTCGTCTGGAGTACAATCTCCGTGCTACCCATCACCTGCTGCCCCACCTCTCCCCAACAGATGGGGGTGCGACACCTCCGCCCATACAACAGCTCAAAGGGTGGCATACCAATGCTTGAATGATGGCTGTTG